TGGATTTCTATAAACCTAAATATGACCAATGTTTAGGTATCACTTCCTCTTACACAAACGAATGTAATTGGACCATATACTTAAATATACTTGAAACTGGATATCCATAAACCTAAATATGACCAATGTTCAGGTATCTCTTCCTCGTACACAAACGAATATAATCGAACCATATACTTAAAATTACTTGAATCTGGATATCCATCAACCTAAATATGACCAATGTTCAGGTATCTCTTCCTCGTACACAAACGAATATAATCGGACCATATACGTAAATATACTTGAATCTGTATATCTCTAAACCTATATATGACCAATGTTCACGTATCTCTTCCTCGTACACAAACGAATATAATCGGGCCATATACTTAAATCTGGATCTCTTTTTCATATACCAGCGTATATAATCTGCAGAAGTTGTGACATGCAGGCATCTGTAACCTGGAAACGAGTACATTACTACTAAGTAGAGTCCATGTCTCCATGCCTCTGTTTTCATAAAACTATTAGCTCAAAGTATTCGCATAAAATCATTTAAATTTAATCTCGAATCAGTGAACACAGTCTCTTAAAAACTTTAAGAACTAACTAGGGACTAAAAAGGTCACTGAAAAGATAAGGGCTAAAAAACCTTGATGATGTTTACCATAAAGAACACTTAAGAAAGCAAACAGGACGCATTTTTTTTATTTACGATTTTAAAATATTCAATTAATTCCGCATATAAGAGAAACTATTTATGTTAAGCTTTAAGTATCTCAAAAATATTTGAATTTCCACTCATCAAAAAAGGGAACACTGCCCTCATATTCGTAAACTTTTACTTCGCCCATACTACACTGAACTCCATTACCACCACTACCTGGTCAATTCGGAAACATTTGAAAGGATTTGATACTTTCAACACAAAAAAAAACATAAAAAGGATGAAATATCCAACAAACTTTTTTAAATTTCAAATAATTTCAAATCCCTTTGCATGTCATTATAAAATATGTTAATGTGCGAGTATGTATATTGGGGTACTGTCTATGAACATTTCTTTGTCCTTCCAACCGTGTCTGGGTGTATTTGTTTGGTTGTACAGGCGTGTATCTATCAACACAGTTAGGCAAATGTAACAAAGCACAGTCTTTCCTTTCATCTTACTTACGCACATATCTACGGTACTGCACATTTGTAATGTATCTCAGGATATTTTACAAGGACCCACATTTAAAATAATATATAAAATTTAGTTGGGAGCTGCAGTAAATTCTCCAACTCCGGCGCTAAGTTTTTCATGTAAACTTTACAGAAATAAATCTAAACTCTTCCGCATTCGTTACTGATGAAAGCTTGTCAACACATTCGGTCATTTGGCAAGCGGACGACAACTGTTGTGCCATACTGGCAGAGCTCGTATCCTTTAAGTTGCACGGGTAGAGAACACTATTTTGCATTTCCCCGTACCCACATGCATTATACATGAGCAAAGTGCGTCAGTAGTCAGTACTTTCGGATTTCCGTTTCTTATTTCTACAATTTCCTGGAAGCAGCATGAGCAACAGTAGCACTTCAAGGATTTGCTAAAAATATAATACAAATAAATAAATAAACTAAAATAAAAAAGTGAATGCATTTTTTTATAAGGTTTTTTTTATTAAAGTACTTTAAGTATTTATTTTATTATACTATATTTTGAGTTATCTAATAGCTTTTAAAAAAAATAGTTTCTATATAGCTTATAGTTTATAAATAACTTATTTTTCGGGTTAAAAGTACCTGCGATAAAATAAACGCGCTGTTAGTAAATCACATTCAAAGAAATTGCAAAATACTTCCTCGAGAAATATATATTCCAATATGCTTCTTTGTAGCGCTTTGGCGTTTTTTTTTTTTTGTGGAAATGAAAGACAGTTTTCGTACATCGAGCTTCGAGAATAATCCCAAGCCTTTCAAGTAGTCATAAACTGTTGAATTTGATAAATTTAACCACAATCCAATCTCACGTGTTGTTATTCGCCGGTTCGTATCAACTAAAACCTTTATCGCGTCTTTATCAGCTTCAACCGGCCTTCCCGAACGTGGTCCATCTTCGACATTAAAATTGCCGGATCGAAATTTAGCGAACCAATTCTGGCACTAGCGTACTGTCAACACACCTTCTCCATACACATCGGTCAATTTCTTTCTGGCTTGAACAGCATTTTTACCCTTTCTGTAGTAAAATAGTAAGATATGTTTGCCTATCGTTCTCTATATTTCAAAGGGCACCGACCAAAAACTACTGCGTAGAATTAATTGGAATTTTTCACCCACAAGCCTTGCTAAATGAGCTCTCAGAGCACATAAAAATTATACGACTTAAGTGTGAAGTTAGGTGCAAAAAAATTACAATTACATCCTCTGTCGGAACTATTATAAATATGGTTCAATTGCTCCATTACTGATACTACAGAAGTAGAAATATGCACTATATGTATGTTTCATATATTATAAAAACGTTAAATATGAAATTATTGAATTTATAATTCTCAACCTGTTCAATTTTTCTGAACTATAAATTCTTATCATTTATGTCCTGAAATTGAGAATGTTTTTAATAGAAAATTTGAGGTCCAGGCACAAATTGTAGGCAATGTTAAAATTTATTTATACACCAAATTTAAATTTATTAAATAAATTTAAAATAATTTTTTGAAACTCACGCTATGAAGTCTCTAAATGAAATCGGTAATAGTTCCAATAGTTTCTTATACCTATAACTATTGTAATATATAGTAATAATATAAAATAAACGTTGGCACCCGATGTGTGTGTGTAAAAAAACTCTTATAACCCTATTTCTAACTAAATTTTGAGTCTCTTGATAGTAATACTTAAAAAAACATAGTTCTCTCATCATTATTTAATTTTTTTTTTTTTTGTGTTTTAATCCTCCACACTTTTTCATTTATCCGGATCCATTATAAGTTAAAGGATGTAGGAAACGGTGTATATATATTATTAATGCATATACATTAAATTATTTTTTTTTATTTACATTATTTGCATTTATTTTATGTGAAAATAAATTTAAAAGTATTTATTTAAATTTGTTTTTTTTTTTGTATTTCTTGTTAACGCGCCTCCGGCTTACATGGAAAAGGATGCGTTCGCTTAGAGAACTTCTCTTTTCAATCACAAAATAGAGACCAAAAGTTTGGAAAAGTTTTTTTTTTGTGTTGTAAAATAAAATATAAAAAACTACGAAAACTAAACTTAAAACTAAAAGTTTTGTCCATTTTAAGCCAAAAATGTTTTATTGAAATAAAATACCAAATGCCAAGGGCTAAAAAAATTTTAAAAGGATTTTCAATAACATATGCAAAAAATTGCAAGGAGCAGGAGCTTAAATATTATAAGATACATCCTTTAGAGAGCAAAATATATAGGAAATGAAAAAGACAAGATTGTCAATATAGTTGAACCAATATGAATATTTTAGATGGTTTAAATATTTTATATAAAAATTATTCTACATTTATAATGCATCAAAGAAGGAGTGAACGATATTTAACCATTTTAATACTATTCTTTTTACTCTTTCATATTTAATTTTAAACAATAATCAAAATATAAATAAGGCAAAGTCTTAGAACTATGGATATCCCTAACTATGCGATAAAATTACTATTTTCACTGGAAATATAGATATTCATTTAATCTATTTAACATCGATGACATATAGGGCGGTGGTTTTCTAAAAATATGTCCGAAGTTTGATTTTACAATGAACAAGAGACTCATAGCTTTATGTTCCCATTCTTTCGTATTAGGAGCCATGGGATTATGACCATACTCTATAGTATTATGACAAGATTTAGGCATTGGATTTCAATCACAAGATTTAGGCATTAGATTTTGATCACAAGATTTAGGCATTAATAAGAACAGACTGTTTTATGTAACAATTTAAATTAGCTTCTCGATTTTAAAGCAACGATCCACTACCACTTTACTGCCACGCTTTCTGGTTACACCCAATTCTTTATGCTAAGAAAAATCTGTACTCTTATATGCTTTGGATTCTTGGTCGATAAACTAAAAAAGCAATAAGATAATAAATAAAGGTTGCAACTGAATCTCTGAATCAATCTTTAATTCCTCGAGAAATATATTTTTATGACATGCTCTGGTTTATAAACCAAAAATAGCACCTACCTGGAACTTATTCAGCAATGAACTCCACATTTATTCAATTGCTCTTCTTCGAAATGACTTTCTTATATTGATTGGCATACCGCCCGATATAGTCTCCACACATGCCTAGAAGATAGAATGGATTTACAGTTCATTTTTCTAAAAAAGTAAACTATATAGTATATAGTATATGTTTTGGAAGGTTTTAATGGCACAAATTGGAAAGTATCTAAACAGTAGGATTTCACAATTTTGTTATTTGCACAGTGAGTAAAACTTAAGCAAGGAAATTGGCGGAGAATGTAAAGATCCCAACTTAATAATATCAATTCTCAATAGCAATACCGCACCTGTTAAACTTTCTCACGTGATTAGTAAGATATTGGATCCTCAGTGGAATAGATCATCTCGATTTCTTAAGCTTATGCTTTTCTCTATGGACGCTAAGGACATAAGGATCATCTCGATTTCTTAAGCTTGTGCTTTTCTCTATGGACGCTAAGGACATGCTTATATATTATATTAAAGTGAATTATTGTTATATTTAATTATTAGGTGAATTCCCTAAATTATAGACAATTGACAAAATGAAAATGGTAGGCAGATATTAAAATAATTATATGATTATTGAGAGTAGCTATAAATGTTTCTATTTATATTAATAACTCGTTCCCTACATTATTTAAAAAAACATTTCATTAAATTATTTAATTTATGAAATTTTTATTTAGACTTCCACATTTTCTTTATTCTCTTCCGCTTATCACGGACACCAACCATTAAACCATTGCACCATTATTGTCAATCGTTGGCAACGCTACGCGCAGCTGACAATTGCAAAATGTCAAAAAAAAATATTGACATTTGCGTACATCAGATTTTTATCAGTAAGTTTTGTGAAAATATAAATTTCGCAAATATTGAGATATAATTACTAAATAAACTATTGCGCCGCAGTAAGATTCTATTAGTTTAATTCTAATAGTGTACACTAATTTTATTCAACAAAATGCAACACAAGTACAACAACAAAGTGGACATTTGATATTCACAGCAGGCAACAAATTTGCTAGCCAATAAAGGCTCTAAACAGAAGAGATAATCAAATTAACAAAAAAAGGCAAATATTTGAAAAATAAAGTAAAGGGAATGTGTTCTGCGAGAATGTCACATTCTAGCCAGGAAAACACAAAAGAAAGTAGTAATAGTGATGTACAAGCATTTCGAATGCCTTTTATGCCTTCGGGACACATCGAAACGCCAGACACGCCGTGCTCAGGCGATTACTTATCTATGCAGCCTTTTATAGATTTTGAAGAAATTGCTATTAAAGAGGTTGGTTTTGGTATAGTTGATATGTTTACTGTTTTAACAGATATAAGCTTTGTTTACAAATTATATAATTGTTAAATTTCGTTCCATATAGAAATGTGGTCATGGTTCCTACGGTGTTGTGTACAAAGCTGTTTGGCGTGATCGTTATGTGGCTGTGAAGGAATTTGTTGCTACCGCTGAACAAACAGCTATAGAAAGAGAAGCAAGTTTTTTAATAATAAATTTAGAACAAAAATATTCTTACTTGATTTTTGTTTGGCAGGTCAAGCAACTATCCAGAGTATGTCATGATAATATAATAAGCTTATATGGCATATCTGCTCATAACCAATCCAAATACCTAGTTATGGAATATGCTGAAGGTGGTTGCCTGTATAACTTTCTGCACGGCAAAGTTAAACCACATTATCAGCCTGCTCACGCCATCAGTTGGGCATTACAATGTGCTAAGGTAGGATAAATCTACAAAATAAACATAAATAAATTGCTTGAAACACACAATAATATAATACAGTAAAAAAATGTATATAATAGTAACATAAATAGTTATGATCTCATATGCCTAGACTATGCTTTGACAGAGCATTGTGTCTTTGTAGATTATTCTAGATAATGTATTATATAAATAAATAATAAATTATAGCTGTATAAGATTATATGTTAACTAAACACTTTAAACTAATTTTAATTAATTTTATTTTTATTTTTATTAAGGGTGTTGCTTATCTACATGCCATGCAACCAAATCCTTTGATACACCGCGACTTAAAGCCCTTAAATTTGTTATTAACTGATAAAGGTAGACATTTGAAAATATGTGATTTCGGTACAGTGGCAGATAAATCAACTATGATGACTAATAACAGGGGCAGCGCCGCTTGGATGGCACCTGAAGTGAGTATAAATAAATTTAATGGATTAAATATGGCTAAATGAACTTTTAGTATCTAAAATTTAGTTCAACGGTGCGATTCATTCTGACAACACATTATCTCATATTAAAGAAACCAATCGTCTTCATTAATCATAAAACCAATCATAAAAACTTTACAACGTCCTTTACATTTAAATAATCCAAAGAGATTATCTTAAAATTATAATCTTAGATTCAGATAATAAATTCTTTATCTAGAGTTCATATTTGATTATCAAAACTTAAAATTATCTGTTATATATAGTATAATACTTATAAAATACTTATAGCTCCAGGACTTTTTTGTGAAAATCTTTACTTAATATTCTGAATTAAATTATAATCTTTTACTGAATGGATAACGAAACTTCTCTCTAGATTATTTTGGATTTAATGGTACTTAATTTAAATGACTCAATACCCAATTTTTTAAGATAATATGTCGTTAAACCTAACAGCTGTAATAAAATCAAAGCTATATCAATTATTATACCACATAATCTCATATTAAGACAACTCTCCTCTCCCAATCTGAAAAGCATTAAGATACTTTAAACAATTTTAGAACCTACTTAAAACTTAATTTCAAACTTTTAGAAGTATTTTTGGAAAGGAATCTGTTTTCATCGCTAACCGTTAACTGATACACTAACTTCTTAATTTTCACAATTATTCAATAGCGTTAAAATTATTGGTTAAAAATTACTTTAAAATTACAATAATTTCTCTTTTACTTATGAAATTTATATACTTACAGGTTTTTGAAGGTTCCAAATATACTGAAAAATGTGATACATTTAGTTGGGGCATTGTTTTATGGGAGGTTCTGTCAAGGAAACAACCCTTTAGTGAAATTGATAACTCCCTCACTATAATGTGGAAAATACACAAAGGTATATATTTATTCTTCTTATGGTAAATGATTTATATCCATACTCATATATTCTCTTGTATTTTTTCTTTAAAGGTGAACGTCCGGAAATCAATAAAGACTGGCCATCAATTATACAAAATCTAATGGCTTCTTGTTGGAAAACAAAACCAGATCATCGTCCTTCTATGCAAAATGTTGTTAGCGAAATGTCATTTCTATCAACTTCATATAGCGGAGCCGACGAGCCTTTGGAATATGAATTTAAAGATCAACAAGTCTGTTAACAATTGTATTTTTAAATTTTTTCAACATTTATTTATATATATCTATTATTGAATAGATATTTCGCACAGATAGTTACGCAGACACCGATGACTGTGATGATAATACACCTTTAGATTTTAGCATTTATACCTCATCAAGCAACAATAATTCTTCTACCCAAGTAACACCCACCAATACCACTAGCCATTCAAATTCTTCATCTGCTTCGACACCTACTAATGTCGCCGCAACCGTAGAATTATTTAATCAGCATGCAAATATGGCAACACCGTCCATTACAACAACACGTTGGGATGTTATAAAAGAAGAACCAGAGACCACAACTTATGATATAAACGACTCAGCGGATGTATTTAATTTGACTCCATCAGCAGCAAGCGCTAAACGGTTTGAAACAATTCGTAATGACATGACACAGTCGGCAAGTGTACCTATGCCACCACTTTCACTGGAAATAGATCCGGTAGGTTATTAAGAATATGTTTTGTTTTTAACGAAAATAATTAATTTTTATATATAATGTTACAGCATGCTTGGGATCTAAGTAGCAATAATAGTAACAATTCATGTGGTAAGTGAAATTTTAAATGCATATAACAAAAAAAGTTATACCCTTTACTTATTGAACCGCAATACTTTACTTTTATATGAATTTCGTATAAAAAAAATTGCACTTAATCGAGTTAATTACAATAGTGTGAACATAGCTATACATACATATGTTGCTAATTTAGAAATACTACAATATTCACAAATAACAGATTACTAATTTACAAATCCCCATAATATTAGACTTCATAAGTTCAATATACAATATTCTGAGATTACTGTATGTGCAATTCCAGAAAGATATATAGACAGTAGGACTGTACTTTGTTCATCTTAACAGAAAACAAAATCAACTCTACCTGATTTGTCGAACTTTTTAACAAACGATGGGAAGACTCAACAATATGCAGGCATCTGTTTGCACTTTAGTCATGCTCCAATAAAAGGAAATCCAACTCTCTCATTGAGATGCCCCGTAGAGATATCAGTCTTGTAGTAAGCTTACTTACAGGTCACTGCAAATCTCCCTTTTAATCATATTTGCCGCAGTTGTGGAGAGAACTATGAAACTGCCTCCCATCTGCTGTGTTTCTGTCCAGTACATGCGCGGCACCGATTTACCATTTTAGGGGCTTTCTTTTTTGAGAAACTAGGCGAACTGCAAGACTTCCGCTTAAATAGCATTTTAAACTTTGGCAAAAGTTCTAAGTGGTTCTAATCCTTGAGTTTTTAGTATTACGGTAACACAATGGGCCTAAATGTATCCCTTGGGATCGCCAGTATAATCTAGTCTAACCTAACTTTTACCTCTACAAGCCCTGGCATACATTTTGTATGAGTTTAAAAAAACAACTACAAGACACAGAAAAACATTTTATTTTCCAGTTTTTAAAAATAAAACGCCCAACGTGTCAATTATATTTTGTTTTTAAAAATAATAGTTATTCTTAAAGTGAAAATAATAATTATTTGTCGGTTTGAAAATAAAATGCAGTGTGTATGAGTTATTTGTGCATTAGAAAGCAAAAGACACATAATAATAATTATTTTTGAAAAATAAAATATAAAGCAAATTTAATAATTCTTTTTTGAGTTTTATTTTAAAGTGCGAATAATAAGACTCATTAGTTGATTTTTATATTTTTAATAATAACTATTACGATCCTTAATTATTATACGAAATACACATTTTCCTTTTAGAAATTGGCATATTGGTTATAGTTTAAAATTAAAAATAATTATTAAAAATTATTGCGAACCGAATAATTCCTTTTTTTTTGTTGGAATTATGAATATATGTGATGAAATTCTAAAAATAAATTCTAAAATAAGTTCTAAAAATAAATTTTTTTTCTAATCAACTCGTTATTTTTTTAAGTAATTAAGTGGTTTCAATGGTTCTCACTATTTTGTGTTATATATCTCTGTTAATACTGACTGATCCTTCCTATATTTTTAAGTAATTAGAGATTTTTAATACTATGTCTGCAGCTTCCACTTTTTTGTGATATAGATCTCTGTTAACCCCTTTAAGAGATTATACATTTTTTAATTATACCAGTTGAGAGTTATATCTAACTTTTCAGTATTTTTATAATTTTTTTTATTAATTTCAATATCTGTGTTGGCACCTAATAGATGTTAAGTCTATTCACTATAAGTACATACTATGGATTTAATTTTGCGCTGACTTTGAAAAGGTTTATAGTAAGATCGTTTAAAACCTTTGGACGTAGTATTTAGTAGTGCTTTTCAAGATCATTTAAGTTATTTTGTTTCATAGCTTATTAACACTGTCATAACCAGAGAACTGCTAATATTATTGCTGTTAGGGGGAATAAGTGACACTTACTTGTTATTAAGAGTGTAGACTAGGCCGTTTCTGGAACCTTGTTTCATAACTCACTTCATTTAGCTGTGATTTTGATAGTGGCTTTGTTCAAATTTATTTCTTGTATTATAGTTACGATATTGTAGTGACTATAGATAATAAACAATTTATAAAACTAAAGTACTATATATTATCACATATATCTCATTTGGAAGAAACTTCATTATAGTTATAATCTTTAAATATATTTTATTTTCACCTTCTCAAATATTGTAGTTCACGTTTCTTGTAATATTTTTTCAACAAAATAATAGCATTTATTATGTTTTTCATTAATGATCTATCAAATTAAATGTAATTCTGTGAATCAACACGTTCTGTTGATTTCTTACAAAAAACTGTTTAACAAAATATCTTATCTATTATTTCAAAGTAAGATGTGTTTTTCTTAATTTTCAACTTAACACTTTGCACAGATGTTAGGATTTGAATAGATTTTGATTTCAAAAGAATCGCATGCAAATTCCTGGTAGTCACTGCTCTACGAGAAGACATGCAGTCTCGCTAGATTTAAGTTTATTGGCGACATTTTTTAGTATTTCAATGTGTCGCATATGCGATGAGTAATTTGCTACAAGGCGAATCAGATAAACACACCAAAATATCTAAATAGAACTATTATATACAATATGTTATTTTATATACAATGTTTATATATATATTGTATTGTATATTATTATATATGTATAAGTAATTTTTTAGAATTTTATTATGGTCTATGTTTGGGTAGTAAATAGTTTTTTTTTTACTGAATAAAATCTCACTCGGAGCAGGCAATCAAAACTTTTAGACTAAACTAGAAGAGTTCATGAGAGACGATTTGCTGATGAGTACAGACAAAGAGTAGATTTATATATGGAATTTATATATATTTACTTTTAATTATTGTAGAAAACTTCGAAATAGGAGTCAAATCATTTAATCTATATATAAAGACATATTTTATATACATTACTTCAACTTATTTAGTAGATAGGGAAAAATTTTTGTTGCTTTTATAGTCAAAATAAAGAAAAAAATTAATGGAAAATCATTTTTATTATATATTACCTATTTATTTTCGATATTATAATGATCTATAATGGTCTAAAGTTAAAGAATATTGCAGAGATTGAAATAAATGATTATCTGGCGTTGTTAAAAAATTTTCCATACCGTGAACATTTTGGAAGTATCTTAAAATGTCTCGAGTTTTCAAAGATGTGTGTGGTTTGGAATTATCGTGATAAAACACACCTTTTATCTGCTTCCGTCTATATCCAACTTTTTGATATAATTTTAATTCCTGGCTGTAGAGATTCAAACCATTAGTTTAATGATTGTAACAGTTAATAATCGATGAGTCTTCTACAATTCTGCTAAATATGCGTTATCACTTTTCTAGACACCATTATCGGCTTATCTGCAAATTCAAATAGTTACCATTTCCAATTTATTTAGATGATATTATACATAGTTTAATCTACAATGATCTGTTGGAATTGTTATTTCAATTCTTAACTTCTTAAGTGAGAACAGTTTTTAATAGACTTTGATTTTATGTTAGATCTCTGTTTAAGTCGTTTTAAAGTGTAACAAAATCGGTAAGTTTTATCAACATAGTGCTTTTTTGGTTTCTTTCTTTTCTAGTAAGTATGGAAATACTATTCTGTCTGCGATTAATAAAAAGTTTTTAGTCTTACGCCTTTCATTACTAGTTTGCTTGCCTTTTCATTATTTTCAATACCAACATGGTCTGGAAAGTGTAGCATCCACAGGTAGTTTTCTTGGCAGTTTGAATACCTTTTCATTGTCTTCTGTACCAACTTGATTAGGAACTATATATGATAACATCCATATATGGTTGCTTTGGTCAACATGTCCCAGCACCCATAGATCATGAATACGGAATCTTACACAAAGAACCATACTTGCTTTGTTTAAGCGTGTTCTGCACACTCTGTCACTAGTTTTGATGTAGACGGTGATGTAAACAATAATCCAGTCAAGGCGTAGAGAGGGGTTTTGAAGAAACCTCGCAGTTAATACAGAGTTAAAGTGCTTAAGTGCACTGACTCTACTAGCTTCAATATAAAAATAATAACAGTAGTAATATATTGTTAATATATCTTCTTCTTCTTATTTGGCACTACAGTCCAGTATGAGCATTGGCCTCCCCCACAATCTGCCTTCATCTGTCGCTATCTTCTGCTACTCTCATCCAGTTCAGTACTCCAATCTTTCTTGCATCACCATACACGTTCTCATGCCATCTTGTTCTTGGCCTACCTGTGTGCCTGGTTGTCATCGGCTTTGCGTTGAATATGCTGTTCGGCTTTCTCTCCGGCCCCATTGTTATGGCATGAGTAGCCCATTGTAACATTTATAACTTAATGTATCTCACTATATTTTCATTTCTAAGCAGTTCCTCAATTTCATTATTTGTTCGTCTTTGAAAAGTTTCTGGCGAACTATTTTTCTTTCAAAAATTTTTAAAGCTTCTTCGTCCGCCTTCGTCATTGTCCATGTTTCTGAGCCATATGTAGCTACCGGTCTTATTGTTGTCTTGTACATTCGTAGCTTACTTTCCTTGGATAGTAGTTTTGATTTCATTAAGTCTAAAGTTAAGTTAATATCTATAACATAATAATATCTGTTATATTCATACGCTATATATTTACAATGTAATAATGTCTGTTATATTTATACGCTATATATTGTTTATATTTATAATTAAAAACTGTTCTTAATTAACTCATCTTCATATTTTGTTGATTTTGTTTTTGTTTATTAATTTCACATTTCTATTTGTCATTCGCATAGCAGAAATATTTTCTGGCTCATTGCAAGTGGGTGCAACTATAAACGCCATTATCATTTCTCACATACGCCCCCGTTAATCAATTATCGATGCGTTAATATGAACGGTGGCCATCTGAGCGATTTCTAATTTAATTGCCAAATTAAAATTGCAAATCACATTTGGGGAGCACCCTTAACACGGCAGTATCGCAGTATCTGTGCACATTTTTAGCTTGTTTACTCGATTGCCGCCAACCTGAGTCCATCGTAGAAGCACAATCCTCTTGTTATTCGTATTTTAAAAATAAAAATTCTTATTTGTGCTCAACATTTTAATGTGAAACTATTTCAAAATTTT